TTGTCTCTATCAACTTGTCTATATAATCTTGTCTATACTGCACTTGGGGACTCTATAGCTGGCCCGTTGCCGCGATTGTCGCCGGGGAGGCTGGACGCCACGGCTGTTTGGCGTGGCAGGCGCGGCACTTTGGGGACTCTATAACTGGCGCGTTGCCACTATTGTCTCCGGGGATGCTGGGCGCCGCGGCGGTTTGGCGTGGCAGGCGCGGCACCTGGGGACTCTATAGCTGGCCCGTTGCCGCGATTGTCGCCGGGGCGTCCAGCGGGCACATGGGGACTCTATAGCTGGTGCGTTGCCGCGATTGTCGCCAGGGACGCCGCTGGATTCCGTGTTGGTTTGGCGTGGCAGGCACGGCACTTGGGGACTCTATGGCTGGCACGTTGCCGCGATTGTCGCTAGCGACGCCGCTGGACGCAGCGGTGGTTTGCACTTGGGGGATTCTATAGCTGGCGCGTTGCCGCGATTGTCGCCGGGGACGCCGCTGGACATCGCCGTGGTTTAGCGTGGCAGGCGTGGCGCTTGGGGACTCTATATATAGCTGGTGTGTTGCCGCGATTGTCGCCGGGGACGCCGCTGGACGCCGCTAAAAGCTGCTCATCTCAGGAGATGGACAAGGAGTGGGAATGAGGCACCAAGTCTTTTTTGTGCGAACATCGTTTTCAATCAACACGGCCTCTGACATTCATGAAAATGCTTCAGCAAAAGATGGGAAATGAGGTCTTTGGCAAACGTAAAATCTCTAATTATCTGTGCTGTCCCCGGGCAAGAAGGCTGCCATTTAGAACCTCAAACGACTGGACCTGGGATCGTAATGGAAATGCAAAAGGAATCCAGATCACAACTATCTTCTAGTTCAAGGACTACCCGCTATGTATTTACCAGTAATGACAAAAGAATACAAAAGACCATAGCGTGACGGAAATGGAACCAAGTGAATTAGTACGCATTTCCCTGCCGCAACTTATGTATATTATAAAATTATATTATATAGTTCTTCTTTTCAGCCTGAAACTTGCAGACAAAGTTTGCATAAGAGCGACTTCTTTCCTTCGACAAGTGTAAGTGTATATGCTCCCCCTCTGTCCACTTGCAATCGGGGCCAAGCCTTCTACCAAATGGGCCAATCTAAGTGCGTTTCCATGCCTTTTCCATGCCTTTTCCATGTCCCTCCCTGGTTGCACTTCTTAAACCAGCCGTAAAATTTGCGGCTGCTCTGCCAGGTTTCAGTGGAAACCAAGGCTTGAAGAACACAGTTCCCGCAAGTTGCATCACTTGGCCATACTCTTTGCCATATTGTCTTTAACTTGAGAGGTGTTCCCTCACAAGGTAGAAATAGAAACCTTGAAGATTTTGAAGAGTGTGGCTAAAATGACTATGAGTGACATATCTCGAAGCGTGTTGAAGGGCGGCGTGGTCAATCGTTAACAAAAAAGAGGGAGCATGACGAGTTCATGAGGAGCATGCATAGTAATCATCATATCGGCTCTTGTACGGAAAGAAATCTAGCTCTTTTCCCAGCGCCTCATCTGTCGCTTCACCCAAACAAAGCTGAGCACCGCAACGTTGACTATAGCGCTCTGGCAAGCATGCCGATGCAAGTTAAGGTTGAGAAATGTCTTGGGTGTTTGCACTCACACCCATGATACTTGGAACTAGCTACACATTAAAGCGAGAATGTAAGGCATGTGCGGAAATGTATCAATTCAATGTGCACTGACGGACTCATCCAAGGGAAACAATTGAAGGCACTCTGCAGTCACTGCATCGATTGCACAAATATTGCTTAACAATGGCCAGGGATGCCGCGTAGATCGCTTTCTGCGAAAAATTGAGCGCCCTGACTGTCAGGGGTGCTGCATCCAACTCAATGAAACTGTTGCCATGGACCCGTTTCCAAGCCATCTGGAATGTAGCCAGTTGGAACCATGTTTTGTTTTCAGGTATTGCGTAGGTTTGTCTCACAGCCTTGCAACTCAAATTGCCACATGCATATGCATGAGGTACTAAAAAGGCATTCAGTCGGGGGGTGTTCCGTCTGAGTCTCTTCTCGGTTGCCCAGCGCTGCGCTGTTTGAAGACACGCAATCCCAACCACACAGGATCCGGTAGCAGAATGCACAGTCTCTTTCGACATTACAAACAGTGCAGTGGCAAGCCGCAGGCGAAGTCTCAGGAAGAGAGAACATGCCTCTAGAATGTTCGCAAGAACGACTGTGCATTCAGACACCTTTCTCTTGGCACCTTTTTTGAAAACATCTCTCGCTTGACAACCTTTTTTGCTGATACCTCTGTCTATCGACAACGCTTTCTATTGACAACTCTTTCTCTTGGCAAACCTTTCGCTTGGCCGCTCTTTCTCTTGGCATTTGTTTCTGCTGTCATCCCTTTCTGTTTTGACATCTCTTTCTCTTGTCTCCTCTTTCTTTTGACTTCTCTTTCTCTGGGCATCTCTTTCTCTTGGCATTTCTTTCTCTTGAGACCTTCTGATCTTGACAACT